CTATCTCACTTTCTGATTGACCTTCAAGCTGGTTTTTTTGTTAGTTTTCTATCTGATAATTATAGCTATTCTTATTACCAAGTAACCTTATTCTATTATTTTTTCTACCTATTTCATCTTCATTATCTATTTCTATTCCACCTTTATCTTTGAGTTGGCTATCTATTTCTATTTCACCTTTATTGTCATCTTCAAGCTGGCTATATATCATTGTTTTATCATCATCTCCAAGTTGATTACTTTCTATTTCAATTAGAATTTCTCTCTCTCTTTCTTTAGCTATTTTCTATAAAAGATTTTCAATAGTATCATTATGAATTTTTATATAATTTCAAAGCAAAGCTTTACCAGAAAATTCTCTTGTGCAATTTGGATTTGGATATTTAAAAGGCATTTTTTTAAAAAAAAAGAAAAAAAAGATACAAGATAATTGTAATGATTAAGAGTTAAATATAATTTAATATATATAATTATATATTAATTATTATGAAATCTGATGTTATTAAATGTAATCAAGGCACTATTTTTATCCCTGCATTAGATTAAATTGCAAGAAGGCTCTGAAAAAATAGAAAATATAAATACACTATATATATTAATACAAATGCATCATTTAATTGTTATCTAATTTATGTAGTTTCGAAAGGTCTTTTTGCTAACAAGGTCCTACTTTGTTAGATCTGCAAGCATAATTAAATTATATTCTATATAGTAAACTTTAGTCTATTATCTTTTAACTATTTACGTATATTAAGTCTATAAAAAAAATATATAAAAGAAATTTACAATAAAAGTTTAAGTAAGTTAAAAATTTTTATTATTTAAACCATTATTAATAATTATTAATTACAGTATTTTTCAAACCCGGAAAAAATTATTTATATTGAAATCAGCTCATCCAGAAACAATTGCAGATCATAATTATATATACAAAGTCGATTGGACTGAAGTTAACAAAAATGTAAACTATTATATTGGAGAAAAGGTAGGTGAAAGATATAAATTTTTATTGATTAAGTATAATTAATATATTTACAAATATCAATATAGTTGATCTTTTTTTTATAATTTTTAGGCTCTTCACTACATGATAAAGAGAATAAATTTATATTATTCTATCCAATACAATATAATGAATTTAATACTAGGGATTATAATTCCATTATAGCAGTTGTTGAACAATTTGAAATAGAGAAACTGGTGATTTCTTCGAAGAACTTTAAGATATACAATAATTTGTTGAGCAAATTTTAATATTTTATTGAATAAATATTAATTAATTTTTTTTTTTGTCTATATTAGTTTTATTCCATATACATTATTTTTAAAATCTATAATCACTTATAAGTCTCAAAGGTGATGATAAAAACACTACTATTCTATATAAAACTTCATTATATTTTTATAGTGAAAAAGATTATATACATTTAGAAGGTGAAAGGTATGTGAAGAATGACAAGTAAAACAAAAGAACACAATGAAATGTTAGATAAGAATACGAATATGTCTTTATATATATTAAATATTATAATTGTTTGTAGTAAGTATTTTTAAATTATTTA